CCAGGGGGTGGCAGGCTGGGGGGGGGGGCCTTACCCCGCAGCAGGGTGATGCATGCCCGGCCGCAGCCCCGCAGGCAGCACTTCTGGCCGGGGGGGCAATCCTTGTCCTGCAGGCACAGGAGGAGGCACTCGGCCGCCTGGTCACCATCACCCATGGGGGGACAGAGCCCGGGCCGCACTGGCACATGCGGAGAGAGGGAGGGGTGAGGGGATTACCTCCTGTGAGCAGGGCACCCCTCTGGGGTGGGGGAGCTGCCCTGCCCACAGGGGGTGAGCCCCTCACCTGGCTCCTGCCCCATGGAGACAGCAGCTGGGTCCCCACGCTCTCATCACCCCCCAGGAGGGTCACAGTGAGAGGCAGCCCCTGGGGAGGGCGCGTACAGCCAAGGGGGTGCCAGCCCTGGCCAGGGGTGCTCAGCCTGGGACAGGGCAGGGAGGGGACACAGGGGGTCTTGGCCCCACAGGGTGCCGGTGGCTTTACCCTCAGTGGGTGGTTTGCAGACATGGCCACAGCCGGTGGTGCAGCACTTGGCAGCCCCGGGGCAGTCGCCGTCGGTGTCACACAGCTCCAGGCAGGGTCCCAGGGAGCCCCGCAGCACCACAGGGCATGCACCGGGCTTTGCTGCGGCACGGCGGCTCCCTAGTGACAACAGAGACCGTGGCTGTGCCAGAATGCTGCTTCCCCCAGCCCCACTCCTGGCATGGCCTCGGTCTCCATCCTGCCCCCCCGTGCTGCCCCCCGTCCTGCCCCCATCCTGGCCCCATCCTCCCTCCCAGAGCCCCATGCTGCCCTCAGCTGCCAGCCTCACACCCAGACCAGTCTGACCCAGTGGACCAGTCACAGCTCAATATGGGATGCCAGCTATCAGCTGGAGCGGTGAGGGACAACCCTGGCTCCAGTCCCCACCAACACCCAGCCCGAGTGCGGTGCAGGATGGGGGTGCAGGATGGGGTGAAGCCCCACACCTGCTCGGGGCCATCACCCACCTGTCACAGAGGAGCTGAGCACAGGGATCCCTTCCCACAGCGCCCAGAGGGCCTGCCTTCGCCCAGGGGCTCACGAGGGCCGGGGCTGTGCCTGGGGTCGGTGTGCGGCACTGGGAGCTGCAGCCAGCGGCACACGCTCCCCAGGGCCTGGATGGCTGCCACCACCCGCACACTCGGCCAGGCACAGCCGCTGGGGCTTGTCTGGCGGCACGGCTGGGCACACGCCGGGCTTTGCCGGGGAGGAGCTGTGCTACCACCGGTGTGGCTGCAGAGTGGATGCGGGGTGGCTGCAGGGCGGCTGTGGGGCAGCCATGGACAGTGCCAGGGGCACACACGCTTCGGTGGGGGGATGCGTGAGCCTGGTGAGCCCTGGCCCTGGGGGGAGCGGGGCCTGCGGGCACCCAGCCCCGGGAGGAGAGATGGCAGGGCTGTACCTGTGTCCGGGGGGGCGCAGGACAGCCCACAGCCAGAGAAACAGCACTTGCGGTCCCCAGGGCAGTCTCGGTCATCGGTGCAGTGGTTGGGGCAGGCAGCAGCGCTCCTCTGGGCACGCTTCCGCGGGCAGGGGCCAGGTTTGGCTAGAGGGGAGGGGAGGCTCAGGGCTTGGCGTGCAGCCAGCCTGGCCCCACAGCGCCCGCGGCTCCCCCACAGAGTGATGGGGGCTGTGGACCCGTGGGGCTCTCCCGTGGGTCTCCATCTTCAGCCCAGCACGGGGACACCGAGGCCACCTTACCTGGTTCGGCACGCATGCAGTGGGCGCAGCAGCCGCGGGTGCAGCACTTCTCTCCGGGGCTGCACGCGGTGTCGTTGTGGCAGCTCGTCCTGCAGCTCTCCCCGCTGGCACTGCTGGCGCGAGGGCAGTAGCCCGGGCTCTCTGCAGAGGGAGATGCTCCATGCGGCCATGTGCCCAGGGAGTGGGGCTCGTAGCAGGGGCACACGACACGGGCACTGGCCCCCACCCACATCCCACCCGTCGCCCAGTCCCCATGCTGGCATCTCTCTGGGGGGAGCTGGCGGGTCCTGTGGTGGGGAGGAGGCAGGT